TGTGTGTGGTGGGTGTGTCTGTTGCGTGGTGCGTGCGTGGTGTAAGACACACAGACACAGACACAGACACAGACACACACACACACACACACATAGACACAAACGCATTATAGTACAGAAAGTGTTTTAGTTGTTGTTCCAATACATGTTGATGTATCAGTTATACAATACAGCTTTGTCCTTTCCAGGCTAACTTGAACTCCGACAACATCCGGCTGATGTCCGCCATGCTCTGCGCCGCCCTCTATCCCAATGTGGTCCAGGTGCATGTTCATTCTGTAAACGGAAACCAGTGATGAGTATAAAACTGTCTCATGCCTGCTACCTTTACCTGGCTTCACACTCCTGCATTTGGTCCTTTTCGTTCCAGGTACGAGCTCCTCAGGGGAATTACAAGATGACCAGCAAAGGAGCGATGAAGATGCAGCCCAAAGCCAACGAGCTCCGCTTCATGACCAAGGACGACGGCTGCGTCCACGTGCACCCCTCGTCTGTCAACTACACAGTGAGATAGAAGAGAAAAGATTGTCGTCCTTTATTCAACAGCTAGTTAGAGCGATTCGCCTCATGACTCCTCTTTTGTGCTCCAGGTCCGCCACTACAACAGCCCCTACCTGGTTTACCACGAGAAGGTGAAAACGAGCCGCGTCTTCATCAGGGACTGCAGCATGGTGTCCGTCTACCCACTGGTGCTGTTTGGAGGCGGGCAGGTCAACATGGAGCTGCACAAGGGAGAGTTTGTCATCTCCCTCGATGATGGATGGATCCGGTTTGCTGCCGCTTCCCATCAGGTCAGGGTTGAGAGATAACGGAGCTTTAAGAGTGAAGAGCAAAGCTGTTTGGAATTTATTTGCACATATCTATAAAAGTGCTTTTGCAAATGTTTCTTTAGTTTGATATTTAATAACACAGATCTATTTTTATGATAAACCAGCATGGCCCAAACTGCAGAGATTGATGAGGTTGTAAAATATTAACAAGCTGTTTGTAAAGTTTAATATGCTTAGAGGTTAACAGGCTTTTATGAGGACTCTAAAGAAAACAATGCACTGCAGTCACATATACTATCACATAAAAAACATAGTAAAAGTAATCTAAATATTATTATTATACACTGTTTGTGTGGTGTTGCATTATCTGTGTTCACAGTAAGAAAACAAAAGGTAAAGTAGAAGAAAATCCCGTTATGAGTTAAATTATGATAAATGGTTATTTAAGCTGGTAAAGAAGCAAAAAAAAAAAAAAA